ACCTTCAATCTTTCCCAGCATCAGGGTCTTTTCAAATGAGTCAGTTCTTCACATCAGGTGGCCAAAGTACTGGAGTTTCAGCTTCAGCATCAGTCTGAAAAAGAACAGGTATATGTATATAACTGACTCACTTTGATGTACAGCTGAAACTATCACATTATTAATCAGTTATACTCCAATATAAAATAAAAAGTTAAAAAATTGACAAAAAAATTAAATAGAATAAAAACAAAAAACTCCCAGCAAGTTCAGTCGGCCACATCTGCTGATACCTGACTCACTGGGCAGCAGCTCATCAAGTCCATCAGGTGCCCGAGACGCTGGCCTTCCCTCCTGATGACTGACACGGTCAGTCTCATTTCTGAGCCCGGGTAACCCCTCTCCCCAGATCCCACCAGCACACCGCCCTCTCCAGAACAGGCTAGGAGTAGATGGAGTCAAACACCCATGACTCATTTTAATCTGCACTTTGACAGACTAGAGGAGGACCAGGCCAAGTTCCTGGGAAGTCACAATGTTAAAGTCAATTATAAATAAACGTATTCCTTTTACACGCTTAGGAAGTTTAAGCAACTAAAAGCAAGCATCTGTGCATTAATTTAAACCACTTTAATGAATAGCTGGGCACGTGTGTGGTGGGAAGATGTTATGTAAGCGAAAGACTGCTGTGAATTTGCAGGGAAACACTGGTCAAAGTCTCGAGAGAAAAAGGGACAAGGCGATCGCTGTTATTGGGCAGGGGCCACTTGAGGAGAGAAAGCAGTATTCCAAAATTTCTGAGCCCCACTTGTAGCTCTATTTAAACTTTTCTCCGGGTGACTAGTGGTAAAGAATCCTGCCAATGCAAGAGACATGGAGTTCTAACCCTGGGTTGGGAAGATCCCCTGGAGGAGGGCATAGCAACCCACTCCAGTATTCTCGCCTGGAGAATCCCATGGACCGAGGAGCCTAGCGGGCTACAGTCCATGGGGTCACAAAAAGTCAGATGCAACTTAGTGACTAATCAACAACTTTTCTCTCGCGTGCCCAGAACTTCTGCCCCACTTGCCTCGCCAACCCCATTCTCACCTTCGTGCATTCCTCAGGAGATGCTTTCAGAGGAAACTTAAATCCTAATTTGTAACAAAACACGGAGAAAATACAAGTCACAGAATTCATGGAGCATGACAATGCAATCTTGAAAAAATGAGCTCAAGGTAAATTTAATAGATGAAATATGTCCTTAGTCATGAGTCTAAGGACTTGATCAGAAGCGGAAGGCTGGCTTCAAGGTGAGCAATGCAGAGTAAACACACTGGAAAAACACATTTGTCTCAATGGTCTTCTCGCCACTTTGACTGTTGATATTCTTGTTAAAATTTAACTTTCCCAGCGGCAGCATTAGAGATAGGAGACAGGGAGTTTCCAGGTTCTCAAGTGGATGCCAAGACCTAGTTAATTTCCTCCCTGCCATCAAAGGATCTAACTTTCTTACAAACGGGAACCCCAAATGCCCCCGAACCATCATGAACCAGCCAACGCTGAAGTTTTCCACACAGAGGATGTGTAGCACTAGACTATTTCCTGTCTGTATGTGCTTTTTCTTTTTCCAACGGTTTACAATGTTTCTGTGGGGTGCACGTTACACTTTACTGGTTCTGATTTCCTGGCAGTAAGGCAGGTATACCAAAACTAGGTGTTTGAACGTCTTTATGGATACTTTGTCAGTTACATTTCTCCGGTTTTGACCAAAACTGAAGAGACCTGAAGTTGCTTCTAGGGATGTTATATTTTTTTGAAAGACCAAGTAGCATTCACTAAGTGAAAAACTCATTTCCTTCATTAAAGTGCACTTTTGCTTGAATCATGATATTGAAAAGAAGACAAAGTCAGACAATCTCACATAGAGAAGCAGGCGCCCTCCATCTCTGTGTTTAGAAAAGGCTGCTGAGAACGCTGCATGGGGACTCCGGCGCCAAGTAACGATGGACTGGACCGTGTGTGTGTGAGTCACTCAGTCGTGTTCAACTCTGCAACCCCCAGGCTCCTCTGTCCACGGTGATTCTCCAGGTAAGAATAGCGGAGTGGGTTGCCATTTCCTTCTCCAGAGATCTTCCCAAGCCAAGGATTGAACCCTCATCTCCTGCCCTGGCAGGTGGATTCTTTACCACTGAGCCACCTGGGAAGCCCATGGACTAGATTAGGGGTTGGGAAAGTGAAGGTCACTCAGTTGTGTCCAACTCTTTGTGACCCCATGGACTACATAGTCCATGGAATTCTCCAGGCCGGAATACTGGAGTGGGCAGCCTTTCCCTTCTCCAGGGGATCTTCCCAGCCCAGGGATCAAACCCAGGTCTCCTGCATTGAACTGAAAGAACCCATGCAGATTTTTCACCAGCTGAGCCACTAGCGGTTGGGAAACCACGGCCTAATGGCCAAATCTGGCACACTGGATTTGTTTAGCCCTAAGGCTAATGATCAGAAGGCGATGGCGCCCCACTCCAGTGCTCTCCCCTGGAAAATCCCATGGACAGAGGAGCCTGGTGGGCTGCAGTTCACGGGGTTGCGAAGAGTCGGACACGATTGAGCGACTTCACTTTCACTTTTCACTTTCACGCACTGGAGAAGGAAATGGCAACCCACTCCAGTGTTCTTGCCTGGAAAATCCCAGGGACGGAGGAGACTGGTGGGCTGCCGTCTATGGGGTCGCACAGAGGCGGACACGACTGAAGCGACTTAGCAGCAGCAGCAGGGCTAATAATAGCTTTTATATTTTGAAATGGCTGGGGAAAAAAATCAAATCAAAAGTAGAGTATTTTGTAACATGTGAAAATTACATAAAATTCAGATTTCAGTGTCCATCTATCAGGTTTTATTGGAGCCCAGACACGCTCATTTATGTGCCTTCTATGGCTACTTTTGTGCTATAATGGCAGAGCTGAATAGTTTTAGAGACAACAGGCAAAGGCTAAAATATTTACAATCTGGCTCTTTACAGAAAAAAAAAGTTTGCCAATCTTTCGTCTGGGCGATCTCTGAGAGTCCTTTCACCTCCAAATTCCTGGGAATTTTACTTCCTTAGATAAGCTAGAATCCTCCATCAAAGACAATGTACAGAACACACATTAGCCTAATAGTATAATGACCCCAGAAGAACTGTTTGTTTTGTGCTGGCAACATTTCCCAAGACACACGTAAAATGACACCCACTGACTCAGAACACACCATCACTTTCCCAGATATTAATCACTTTTAAAGGCAGGCTCTTGGTTCTAGAAAGCAGTATTTATGATTTTTAGCAATTTTACTCTATTCGGTTTAATAGACCATCTGAAAAATTACCAAGTAGAATGAAAATTCAAAAAAAACCAGCTCCCCTAGGAATTCATCCCATAAAATATTTATTAATAAGTAAAATGATTTTCCCCTGCCTTTGGTTATTAAGAGGTTTGATGGAGTATCTTGTTGACACCAATTGCCAACAATGGTTTTACATTATTCAGTCATGAGATAACAGGTAGAGATGCACATAAGCAATCAAACAGGTAGACAGATGATTGACGACAGATAACCACAGATACAGATATAAATATGTAAAAGACCATACCTTATGACCATTTAATTACAAATCTTGGTTTTGCTAGCATTTGGAAATTTACTGGCACACATTTTGACTTATTTCTTATAAGTGAACAATACACAAATAAATTCACTTGAGATTCATAATTCACCACGCTGGTAATGAATACAGTGCTTGCTGAGGACCAAGAGAGGAAAACAAGAACTAACTTTGTGGGGAAGAAACACAATATCTACTTTGAAAAGCTCTTCTCAACTTAACAGTACCTCTTGCTTGAAAAATAAGATGTTTTGATAACAACAGTATAAAAAGCCTATGATTTGCACAGTAAATCGTATTTGTGGTTTAAATTTCATCCCAAGACTGGGATTATGGCTGAGAAATGATACTAAGTATCTTTATAAAGCATGTGAGTTTTTATAGGGAAAACAAGAAAATGTTTTATCAGATCTAGGCAGAAAGGCTGATGTTATAACATTTATAACAACAGTAATTACCTGAACTCAGTACCATATAGACATGGAGATCTGAACACCAAAGAGAATGAAAGCCAAGCCATACCACACGGCAAAATTAAAAAGTAACCTGGAGAAGTAGCAGGTGATACAGTTTATGATTTCAACACAAAAACAATTACTTCTTCTCAGATACCAATGTAAAGCCAGAAATTTTAAAGATACAATCAAGAAGGGGATGAATGGTTTTATTACTACACCATCCACTACTTCAAGATTAAAATAATCCCAGAGTTCTGAAATGTCATCAGTTAAGAACTATACAATTTCTTTCAGTCTTTTTTTTAATGTAGAAAATCACTTTGTAATAAGATCTCTACACAAGGTAAAAAAGCACAAAACAGACCCCCCCATAAAGCACAAAAATAGATAATATATATATCTTTTTACAACAAATTAAGATGTGCCTGGGAAATACTGAGATCAAGGACTAACGTCTGAGTCCAGGTTGGCTTCCTTTTATAAGAACTGTTGTTCTTTGCATCTCCCCTAAAACCTTAGATGCTTATTAGAAACTGGCCCAGGTAACAGGGAGGGAACAGCAATTCTGATCTTGTACAAAAAAAAAAAGAAGAAGTAATAATAACAAAATAATAAAAACGCTCCATCCGTTTATAAAATTCTTTTGACAGCCATACCTCAAGGGCACTTACAGGCTTACAGATGTCACGGAGCTGTTGGTAACGACACAGGTATCTCCAGGGACTGCTCTTTCCCATCATAATTCAATCATTCACCAGGATAAACAAATCTAGACAGGCTAATTTGGAGAAAGATGTTTTCATACAGTTTGGGGGCAAGTGAAGCCATCCAACAGAACCATGTCATAAGCAACACCGACAGGCACAGACTTCCAGGCTGGCATCCTTCCCAAGCCCACGGCGCCCGCTCAGCCGTCTGGTCCAGGCTCCCGGCTGCCCTCTGAGTTACACGGTCACCGCTGGGTACATCTTCTGTTCACTGTTAGTGTGAGGGAAGGGAGCCTGGAGCTGCCTGTAGCCTGTCTGCAGCCCATCCAGGAACGGGGGCACCGGGGTCAGGGGCACCGAGTCTGGCTGCACGGTGTACCCCACGAAGGGGGGGTGGAGGTACTGCCCCTGATGGGGCACGATCTGGGTGGCCTGCTGGCAGTTGAGCACAGAGAAGTTCGTGGGCATGTTCACATACACGTTGTTCATGGTGCCCTCGGGCAGGCAACAGTTGGTCTGGGACCTGGTCGGGGGTGCCCGGGCCCCCGAGTTGGCACTGGAGCTGGAGCTGGCGGCCGTACTGGACTGGCGGGAGGAGGAACCCCGCGAGGTGCTGGCGCTCGGGATCATGGGGATGGTCTCCACCAGGCGGGGCCCTCCCGGGGCCCGGCTCAGCTGCGGTTCCTGCTTGGGCCGGAGGCATCTGCAGCAGCAGGCAGCCACGAGGGACCCCAAGACGATGAAGGCGACAAACACTGACCCGACGATGAGGAAGGGCACGTAGATGGGGACTGAAGAAAAGGAGAGAGATATACCATGATGACTTCCTGGAAGGAGGCAGTAAAAATCTGATGACTTCCTGGAAGGATGCAGTAAAAATCGGTGATGGGCAGCAGAGGTGAATAAATGAGCCGCGCCAGTACCCAGAACCTCGGGACCGCGGCCGGGCTGGTGTGTGCGCTGATCGGCATCGCACAGCACAGGAAGCACCGTCCTTTATCAGGAGCTTAGGAAAAGGGGGTGAGGAATAGGACCTGCCTGCAGACTCGGGGGGTCGGTTCCCAAAGCAAAGCTGTTAATGCTGACATCTAGACTCACCAATCACAACACTCTTTGAGGCAGATATCCAATTTAGTAAAATTATGAGTTTTGCAGATTGAGTTATTCTAAAATTTCTACAGTAACTGCACTGCCCACATTTCAGTCTGCCCTAAAATTTGTGTGGTCTGCACAGAAATGAGTCGATAGTATTTCAAAGTCTTTTTTCTTTTCCCCAGAAAGTTATTTGCATTTCTTGCAAACTTCTTTGACCATTTTTTCACAGGTTCTTGTTTCACAGGCAAATAAATCAAAAATTTAGGTCACATCCTAGTCACAACCATTTCCAAAAAGAGTTTGTAAGGCACAAAGGTCAAAGAAGGGTTTTAAGGGGAAAAAGCCCTCCCATACACACTTGCCAAGCTGAAGGCTGGTAACTAGGAGGTGGGCCTGAATGGGGGGCGGTGGGGAGGGAACAGGGGAGCTGTCCAGACAATGGGTCAGCATGAAACAAGGTACCCAGGAGGACAAGTGTTTCCAGGGGCACCAAGAAGGGCCTAGGCAGGACCAGGTGGTGGAGGAGGAGTCACAGGCCTGGCTTAGGACACTGGATTCTGTGTGGAAAACCCCAGGGAAAGCCATAGAACATATAGCAGTGGACATTGTACCTAGCCAGTAAGATTTATTCCCGAAAATAAAACTGTCAAGATAAAAATACACTTTCCTAAAATCAGTAGTGAGCTCCATTTTTAAAATTATTTTACTTACAAAGACCTTGGGGGGGTGCCGTGGGCCTAGCACTATGGGGTTTCAGAAGCTGGACACACTGGCTTGATGGGGTCTGTGGACCCCACCCTACATGACCATGTCTTTTGAGGTGTTCCTTCCCATCTCCCTGACTCTCTGATTGGACATGAGGACAAGGACTGGTCCCACTGGTCTCGGTCAGTACACAGTCCAGGAAGATGTGCAGCTCCCCGGCACCGGAGGGCAGAGACTCAAAACACTGTCTTATCCTAACTGTCCACTAGAGCAGCGGCTGTTCTAACCACGCTCCTCTGACAGCACTGATATTTCTGGAGTTGGTGTTTCTAGGACACAGAACCGCACAGAGTCTCGGAAAAAAGATGGCTTGTCAGTAAAACATACTTTATTAAGCATGTAACCAAAGGCTGATGATGGAAGATAACATTTTCTAAATTAAGATACCAGCCTTATATGTTATTGAGAAGTAAAGGAATTAACGGTTAAGAAAAAGTACCCCAAATGTTATAGTGTAACTAACTGAAAGCAGTCTAAGTCCACATAATGAGTTTTGGGGGGAAATAACTGTTCTCTTTCCAGGATTTTAATCAGAAGCCTAAATAACAATGCAGGGCAGAGAAGGCAGTGCTCCTGGAAACCCTGGAGACTGCTTGATTAGACATGCTGTTCTTACTGAATGCAGAAGCACAGGGTTTTTAGGAAAACAGATCCAAAAGTGCAACTCAGAAGGCATCTGCTCACACGACAGGATTGTGAGAAGCCGGCTGCCCACTGACTGGTCCGCAGTCACCGCGGCATCTGGGAGGCCATCTACAGCCAACTGGGCAGCCCCGGGAGCCCTGTGCCTTGGATCCTCCCTCCAGTTCCAGGTCTGCTCTGTGGCCACACACCCAGCTGCACAGGGCTTGCCTTCCAGGACAGCTCCTCATCTGGAGTCACCCTCCCTTCTCCTCTTCAGAGTCAAGGCAGAGATCAGGAAGGGCGGCTAACAGAAAGGTGTCACTGCAAGGGGAAGGACACCGAAAGGAGCTGCCTCTCACAAGCCCAGCCAGTTCTGGGAAGAGTGACCAGCAGAGCAGGGCTCAGGCAGCTGGAACCCAGAGGGGCTCGAGGTGCAAAGTCCCCTCCTTCTCAATACCTGCCAAAGAATCAGAGGAGATGCCCCTCAGGGCTACAGGTGCCCTGCCACCTCCATTAGACCATGTCCTCCCTCCTTGGACACATCCTGGGTGGACCCTTGAGGTAGGAAGGGGTCTTGGAGGCTGGTGACAAGCAGAGGAGGTGGAACCTACCAAAGGCTTTCAGGCGTATATTTTTCCAACTCTAACTTCGGCAATTTAAAAAACTATAATTAAAAAATCAAAGCCACAAAGTGCAAGACTGGCAGCGCTCTGATGTCACATGCACCAGGTCTGACGTGGTAAGGAGACCCGGCCAGGGGAGCGTGTCTTAGGGAGAGCTAAACTCTCCCGGGGTATGGGGGCGCCGCGTCACCATCACCCCGGGGAAGGCCCCGGAGCTGTCTCCCCTCTGGGGAGCCCTCGAGTGCCCCCGCCAGGACAGGACCCTTTGCTGGGACTTATACTCATGGAAACAGGAGACACGGGGAGGGGCACAGAGACCCCCGGGGGGGAGGAACGTGGGGCTGTCTGTGGCCAACCCTGACTTGCATGTTAGGATCTTGTTTGTTTCGGGAAAAATCCAAGCCAAGCCACCCTATAGCTGACAGATGGGGCAACTGGGGCCCAGGGCACTGAACCAGTGTCCGGTTCCGCACACATTAAAGGCTGGGCCAGAGTGCAGACACCTTCCCCCGCCTACCCACCCCCCCCCCTCCCCCGACCCAGTCCAGACCCCAGGCCCGCAATCGCAGCCTCCTAACACCCTCCCCCTCTCCAGGCTCGCGGGGCCCGCCGGCGAGCCAGCGCCCCTTCCGGCTCGCCCTGCCCGGCCCGGCCCGCCTACCTGCCGAGCCGTCGGGGCCGTCTTTGTCCGCGCGGCCGGGCTCGCCGGCGCCCTGCTGGCGGTCGTTGTCGCAGCCGCCTTGGTCCAGGCGCGCGTCGGCGCTGGAGCAGCAGTAGCGCAGCGCGCAGCTGCCGCAGCAGATGGTGGCGTCGCCGCCGTCGAAGCGCTCGGGGCACTGGAAGCCGAGGCGCCAGACGCCCTGCGCGTCCAGCCAGCCGTGGCAGTACTCGCCGCTGGCCAGCGCCCCGGCCGCCAGGAGCGCGGCCAGCAGCAGCCGCAAGAGTGAAGCGGCGTCCGGGGAGGCGGCAGCCGGATGGCGGCCGGCCCACATGGCACCACCCTGGGCGCGGGCGGCGCGTCTTCCGAGGGCGCAGAACCGACTCCGGCGCCCTGGTCCCCGCGGTGCCGAGGCCGGGTCCTCTTCGCCGAGTGTCGCGTCCGCGGGTCACCGCCCCCGCCGCGACGTCCGGGACCTAAGCCATGCCCTCCCTCGGCCGGCGGCGCGGTCCGAGCAGAGGCAGCCTTGGACTCGTGGGCACTCGCCGACCGAGCTCTCCGGGTTACGAGTCAGAGGGTCCCCGGGGCTGCCGTGGCGCAGCCCCTGGAGGCTTCACCCGCGACGGGACCCTGCCCGTGCATCCCCGAGGGGACCTCACTCTAGCCGGACCACCAGTGGGCGCGCCGCGGCGTACCCGGAGCCGGGGTGCTCCGCAGAGTTTAAGCCCCAGGGTACAGAGTGCGTCTCCTTGCCTTTATACCCCGCGCGGGCGGTGAGAAGAGCCCAGGAAGCCGGGCAGCGGGCGCAGGGCTCCGGGCAGCAAGTGCAGCGGTCGGCCGCGCCCAGCCTTCTGCGCTCCGAGCTCGGTCCGCATGGCTCCGGCCGCGCCACCCGGGCAGCGCACCTCCCCACCACCCGGCCGCAGCCCCCACGATCCGCTCTGCGGCCGGACGGTCGGTCTCCAGACGCTCGCGGGCGTCCGGGACGTAGATGCGGGTCCGTCGCGCCCCGCCGCGGTCCCGGGAGCCGGCCGGGCTGGCGGTGGCCGCGGCTGCTGCTGGGCGCGGATCCAGGCGGGCGGCTCGCCCCGCTCCCCTCCTCTGCTCTCCGGCCGCGGCCAGCTCTGTCCGGCGCTCCTTCTCCCCCGGCGCTGCGCCCTCGCGGGGGACGGGGGGCGGTGGGTAGGGAGCGCGCACAGCCGGGCGCCTCCCACGGGTCTTGGTCCCCCCGGGCTGCGGACGAAGCCGAGCGCAGGGAACCCGCGCGCGCGGCTCCGACTCTGGGGCCCAGCGGCTGCGCTGCGCTCTTAATAGGGGCGGGCGCCGCGGACGCGCATGCGCGCTGGACCACCGCCCCCCTGCTCCTGCCTCCCCGGCCGCCCGCCCTGCACTTTTGGACTCCGGCGGCCGCGGGCGGTGGGCTGCCGGCTGGAAGGCGGGCGGGAGACCCGGGCCGGAGCTGACACAGTAACAGCAGTCCTGGCAATAAGGACAAACTTAAACGTGTTTCTGCGGGTCTTAGGCATTCACAGTTCGGTTTGATTCTCAAAACTCCCCAAAGAAGGATGATAACTGCGCTCCATTTGGCGGACACTGAAGTTGTTGCTCAGAATCACTGTCCCACTTAGTTCCAGGCCCCTGCTGTCCAGGCCTCGGCCAGCCACGCACGGACCGGGGGCCGCGCGGTGGGCTCGGGTCTCTACTAGGTGGGATGGAGAATGCCCCAATGGGGCCTCCTTCCCGATGATTTGTGTCGCTTCTTGTCTTTCTAAATTTGGGCCGAGCGATTTATTGGATCCAGGCAGAAAGGTGCCTGGGCCCCACATTTGGCCCCGGCGGTGTAGACAGCTGTGGGAGGAAGCAAACAAGGTTCCTGACAGACCCTCAGCGCGGCTTTGAGGAGGAGAAATTGATAGCTGCTGACCTGCGGAAGCCGCAGTGACAGGTGCTGATGCTATTAAAGACGCCAGATTATTTTTAAAAGATCTGGTGACCCAGCCAACAAGGTCTGCTAGTCAGCAACCTGAAATCTAGGCCTCATCTGACCAGAAGAAGAACCTTGCATTATGCTGGCCTTAGTTTCTTCATCCTTAAAGTGGAGCACGGAACCTGCAGGGGTTTCCCAGGTAGCACTAGGGGTAAGGAACCTGCCTGCCAATGCATGAGACATAAGAGACACGGGTTCAATCCCTGGGTTGGGAAGATCCCTTGGAGGAGGGCATGGCAACCCACTCCAGTATTCTTGCCTGGAGAATCCCAGGGACAGAGGAACCTGGTGGGCTACAGTCCATGGAGTTGCAAAGAGTCAAAGACAACTGAGCAACTTAGCGCACACACACACGACCCACAGAGGTCCCTTCCAAGTCCATGACCGTGTAACACAAGGCAGTTTTATTCATAGCGCTTGTGTCGGCTGGGTCACCCGTCCAACTCAAGTAGGGTGGCTACCCTGCCAGCCACCACACAGAATCAAACGAAAAAACCTACCCTACACACTGGAAACAAACATCTTACTCTTCAGTAAACCTCTTTCCAAGCACTGCACTTTACTTCATTGCATTGTGGGGAGGGGTGTATTTTTAGCTTCAGAAAATTGTGCATTTAAATGCACCAGCCAGGAATTTTTCTAAACCGAGTAAATTAACAAAATTTCAATATCAAATTATTTGTTCCACAACTACATGCTAAGCAGTCATGGTGTACTGTGCTCTGGGTTGGGTACTGGGGGTTCTCCAAAAAGCCAGACATCCTGGCCATTTCCTCCAAACAGAGCTGAAAGTCAATGGAAATTGGACAGAGACCCAAAGAACTGACTAAGCAAAGATGGTACAAGTATTATAAAGCTGAGTGGTGATGTCCAGAGTCAGTTTAAGCACATAACCTGGGGGTAGGGAGGTGGGTGGGAGGGTCAGAAGAATCATCAGAGCAATGGCATTTGTCCAGATGAAGTGGAGGGAAGACTCAGGTGTTAAGACTGGGTCTTTTTCTTAGAAGATACTATGAGCAAATGTTTATTGAGTGCTTCCTCTATGCTGGACACAGGGCTGTTTTACCTGAGTAATCCTCACAGCAACCCCACAAAGAAGATATAATGATTTGCCCCACTTTACTGGTGAGGACAGCCCGCGCAATCCTTACAAACAGAAAGTGACAGTCTCCTGGACTCCAAAGCCTGCCCACTATGCTGCTGGTCACCAGGCTCCACTACAAAAAGCCTGGACTGAACTTCAGAGTCTATACCAATGACCAGATGGTTGGGCAGCATTGTTTTCCTATGGCACCATAACATAACTAGGGTGGTGTTCAAAGGTTTAATCCTTTACCTTGCTTTTTGTCTTGGGGAGGGAAAATGCAATGGAACTGTCCATTTCTTCAGACAGCACCTATGTCATAGCTTCCTTCCACTATACATTTATCCACTTCTCCAGAACACCCACCATTTGTCAGAGTTTACTAATAAAGAAAGCAATGTTGGTCATTTTCATATGGAAATTGATTTATGAGCTGGTAATACCTGAGCCTAAACACAAGTTTTTCCCAAACAGTTCACAATTTAGCCCACAACCAGCAGACTTGGAAGTGCAAAGCTTTGAGCAAATTCATCCTTTTTTTTTTTTGCATTGCTGTGTTCCTGTATTCCCTAAAAGTGAAGGAGTGGCCTCTCCCGTGGTTGCTCAATGCGGTGGTTGACTGTCTTCAATGCTCATGGAGACTTTATATCACTCTGTTCCTCTCTCTGACTTGATTTTACTTTTTCTTTGTGTATCTAGTATGTTGTACTGAAGTTTTATAAAATAAGTTGTCAGGTACTTACTGGCATCGCTGTGAGAGGTACTACCTGAACATAGTAAGGCGGTGGAACTCCTTCCATAAAAAATTCCTTGACCATCCTTAACAGATAGCCTTAAACTATTTTACTAGTCTCTTCTGAGCAGCTGTAATTAGTTATCAAAACATATAGGTAGTAGTAATAATAATTTATTATAATCAAAACTAAATGTCAGGCAGTCTGCCAGAGTAGATTTAAACACCAATGAAGGTGTGCCCTTCCCCCTTTTAAAAAGTTGAATTCTATAGACACTAACTACAGATTTTTCAGTTTGTTTTACCTTTCAGTCTGTGCCTATATACAGATATATATGAATAAAATGCAACTATTTAAAAACAAACTTCTGACATGTCTTCAAGAGTACAAGTACAAAGTCATAGAACTATAGAAATGATTACTTATAACTTTGCTAACTGGACTTGATGCAAATCATATGAGGGTAGTCATATTTCATTTGTCTGGCAGTTCTAAAACTTGCAAGATCTACAGTGATTTTCTATAAATTTCAGGAAGAGCAGAAGGTCACTGCCATCTGCACACCAGTCAGCAGTCTGTTTAGGAAGGGTGTCTTTCCCTGGGTTCATTCGCTTCTCTCCGTCCTCTTTTATAAATGGGAGTAGTATTGAAAACTCACATTTGGTTTACCAGAATTTCTTTCAAGTTAAAGTGTTTGTGTTAATGAATGAGACCACAAACCCAAACAAATATGCTAATTTACCTTTCTTTTAATTTTGTCTTGTGGTTACCTAACCTCATCTGAAAATAAAAATGGTCATAAAACTCTGAAAAAAAATTCCTGTTGTTTTAAAAGTTTTCATCTTTCATCCTCCTGTTTTTTCCTTGTAATTAATACACTGACTTTCAGGAAAGTAATTTCCATATTTAAAATTCCTTTCCTTCTCATCTACTATTCACTTTAAACATTTAGCATACTTCTCTTCCTGCCCCACCCTCACCCCTAACTCCACAGTTTAAGGAACCATTTTTATGTTGATTTTTCTGTTTACTAGTGGTATATTTTCTTTTTTAAGATATGGAGTTAAACACCAGCCAGGACTTCCAGTAATGCCAGAGTATCTGAAAGGGTGATATAAATAAAATCAACACAACATCAAAAAGCCTGCAGCAAGTTTTTGCGAATTATATGAGAAGAGTCTAGTATCCAGAGTGTATATACAACTCAAAAACAATCCAATCAGAAAACAAGCAGAGAATTTGAATAGACATTTCTCCAAAGAAGACAGTCTGACAAACGCATGAAAAGACGTTCAACATCTTTAGGGATCTTCCCAACCCAGGGATCGAAATGGAGTCGCCCGCATTGCAGGCAGATTCTTTACTGTCAAGAGCCACCAAGGAAACCCAGTCACTATCACAGTAATACTTCGCACCTACTAGAATAGCAATAGTAGTAATACTAAAGATAATAATAAACCAAAAATAACAAGTGTTGGAGAGAAACTGGAAACCTTGCACTTTGCTAACTGGGAATACGAACCACTGTG